ATCACCTGACACAACCACCAAAATTCGATACCTCGTGGACACAGGTGCGGAAATCTGCCTTCATCCTTCAACTCCGGAGGACCGCCGACACCGTCAGCCTTTGACATCTCTAGCAACGGCGAATGGCTCAGCTATTAACACCTATGGCGAGAAATTGATCACTCTCGATCTCGGATTAAGACGGACTTTCCACTGGATATTCATAGTCGCGGATGTCAAGTACCCTATCCTTGGCGCGGACTTCTTACAGTTCTTCAAACTAACCGTAGACATGCGTCAGTACCAGCTTCGCGATGGTGAGAAGCGTCTGCACGTCCAGGGAATAGAAGTCCGAGACCAAAAGCTTCAAATTCACCAGCCATGTCCCCCACCCTCGACACAATGGGAAGCCCTTCTCTATCACTTCCCGAGACTAACACGACCATCGTTCCATGCTGCATCCACGCAGCACACCATTATTCACTCAATCGAAACTACCGGACCACCCGTCTTCGCACGACCTCAGCGACTAGCTCCCTAGAAGCTAACAATCGCAAAGAACGAGTTCGAACACATGATCGAGCTTGGTATTGTCCGGCCTTCATCGAGCAGCTGGTCGTCCCCCTTACACATGGTCGAAAAGAAAACTGGAGATTGGAGGCCATGCGGCGACTACCGTGCACTGAACAAAGTCACGGTACCAGACCGGTATCCCATCCCACATATTCAGGATTTCTCCGGGGCCATTGCAGGGGTGCCATCTTTACCAAGCAGAGAAGACATTCCTTCACCAAGGAACGTCTTCTGGCCCAATTGCGCCAGAAGACATTCCTAAGGCAGCGATTGTGACACCTTTTGGATTGTTTGAATATGTGCGGATGCCATTCGGCCCAAGAAACGCCGCTCAAATATTCCAGCGTTTTATGAACCAAGTGCTGCGAAACCTTCCATTTTGTTTCGCATATTTGGATGACATTTTGGTGTTTAGCAAAGACATCTGAAGAGCACCAATGTCATCTTCGAACGATCTTCGAACGTCTAGACGAATTCGGTGTCACCATCAATGTGCAAAAATGCAGATTACGCGTGACCGAACTCGACTTTCTCGGACACCACCTCAACAAGGACGAATATTTAACCTCTGTCGTCGAAAGTCCAAACGATCCAGGATTTTCCACGACCGACCAATGTGCGCCAACTCAGAGAATTCCTGGGACTTATCAATTTCTACCGTCGCATTCTCCCAGGATGTGCTGCTGTACTTCGACCACTGAATGCTTTCTTCGCGGGAGTCAGGGCGAAGACTTCACCCCTAGCCTGGAACTCCGCAGCCGAGGAAGCCTTCGTCAGAATCAAGAACCAGTTAGCCAAAGTGGTACTCCTGACGCATCCCAGATCGCATGCTCAAACTTCCATCAAGGTCGATGCCTCGGACACAGCGATCGGCGCAGTTTGTCAGCAGCTGGTTAATGGATGCTCGTGCCCCATCGCATTCCACTGGAAATCACTGTCCCCTACAGAGGTGAAGTACAGTACCTTTGGACGTGAGTTACTTGCCACCTACTCCGCTGTCAAGCACTTTCGTCACTTTCTGGAAGGGGGACAATTATTCATACTCTCAGATCACAAGCCGCTGACGTCCGCCATTGCGTCTCGCAGTGCTGCGCACTCCCCGAGAGAAATTCGTCAGCTGGCATTCATATCAGAATTTACAACGGACATCAGGTTCATCAAAGGACACGAAAAACATTGTAGCTGATACTCTTTTCCGCGTTCACATCGATGCGTCTTTTGTGGAACATCCACCTCTGGACTACTCGGCCCTCTCAGCTTCCCAGAAAAACGACTCTGAACTCCACACGCTGCTCAGCTCTTCCTCCTGTTCACTGGAGCTCCAGGAAGTTCAGACAGACTTATCATCGCCAACACTCGTATGTGACGTTTCAAGCGGTCAGCCACGTCCTTACCTCACTAGAGATTTTCGACGCCAAGCCTTCAACATACATCATTCTCTGGCACACCCTGGTACCAAGTCAACACAAAGACTTGTTTCACCTTGGTATGTATGGCCTGGCATGAACTCCGACGTCCGACGCTGGACACGTGCCTGCATCAACTGCCAGAGAACCAAAGTCCATCGCCATACTGTCTCACCGTCTGCGACATTTCAGCTTCCCCAAGAATGGTTCAGCCACCTCCACATGGACATCGTTGGCCCCCTTCCACCATCTCAAGGTTATCGGTACATCTTCACCGTCATCGATCGCTTCACCAGATGGCCTGAGGCGGTACCCCTAACAGATATCACTGCTGAAGCCGTTGCACACGCATTCCTCACTTCGTGGGTTGCAATATTTGGAATTCCTACCGCTGTAACCACAGACCGCGGAAAATAGTTTCAATCCAACCTGTTTGCAACCCTATCAAAACTGCTTAGTTTCCATCACATCTCAACGACGTCATAACATCCGAGCGCGAATGGACTCGTCGAGAGATTTTATCGGCAGCTCAAAACAGCTATCACTGCCACGACGACATCCACATGGAGAGAATATCTTCCGCTCGCCATGCTGGGAATGAGAGCTGCGCTTAAGATCGACCTTGGATGCAGCGCAGCAGAGCTGGTTTATGGCACCCAGCTCCGCCTACCAAGCGACTTCTTCTGTGCTTCACCATCCAGCTCACTGCCTGACCCCCTTGACTACGTGGAAAGGCTCCGTTCCCACATGACCACCCTCCGTCCTTCACCCACACGTGGAACCCGGCAACCAAATCTCTTTGTGAGCCCCGACCTTTCGACCGCCACGCACGTCTTCGTGCGCCACGATGCTGCGCGACGCTCCCTACAAACAGCATACGACGGTCCGTACAAGGACCTTAGAAGAGCTGAAAAGCACTTTACCCTGGCTTACCCGAACCGCGAAGACCATGTCTCAATCGACCGACTGAAGCCTGCGTATATCCCGAGCTCGGACGACACGGACAACCGCACAACGTGCACTGCGAATGTGGGATGCTCTGCCACGATGGACATCACGCATCCAACTCAACCCGATCAAGCCTGTCCCCGCAACATCCGCTTCACTCTCCAAAACACTAACAACTAGCGCGCAAACAGCGTCTTTCACCGCTATTCCGCTAGGGGGGGAGCCCATGTAGCGAACAAGCGGGCGACACCATCTACACCGTAGAGCAACGTGCACCAACGCACGCACTGCGAACGAGGCAGGAGCCTCGCACCACGAGTGACACACACGCGACACAGAGCTCAGATGGAATAAGCCGGCTGGAAGCCAGGCTCGTCTCATCCGATATAGACATTATCTCGGACTGGCCCGTTAAGTGAATATCTATATGTAAATTATGTAAATAACAAGTGTGTCAGCAAAGAATGCCTCTCGGTATGTTGACCACAAAAGTAAAGAGAAAGCGAAACGAACCCATAGCGTGAAATAAATATTGAATCCTGATAAATAAGGAAAACACTCAACAGATGCCTCTTGTTGAATATAAAATGCTTTAACCTCAGCGTTATGAATGCCGTAAATTTTGAATACATATTCACTTGAAAATAATTATTTACTTTAGATAAAATTGTAAATGTATTGAATTCATTCCACCAAATATTGTCCAACGTTTTCTCTGCAATTGCGTAGTACATAGGGTGCTCTATCAATTCTATATGCAAATAGTAACATTAAGAAAGCATAACGTTTTAAAATTGCCTAAACCAAATATTATTACAGTGCTTCCCAATTAACTCAGCTTTAGACAATTACCAAGTCTACACTCTCTCATCTCCCTCTGATTTTGGGATCTTGTTTATCAAACTTCCTTACATTTTTAAAAATCTAAAATTCAATTGCCCGAATGTTCATGAAGATGCAGTTGCATGCAAGAAAAGAGAAATCCTGATGAACCGGTGGTATTAAAACTTTAGCTTTTGCAACGTCAATGCCTATGAAAATTCGCCAACTGACTGACTTTAATTATCAACGATAATGGCTACCAAAGTTCATGACATAACTAGAATTTGTTGTTTTGAGGGTTTATTGTCTTACCGATCGGGGGTGTTATTTCTGGGATGTGAGCTCGACCTACTTCCCGAGGCCAGTCGTGGTGATGAACAGGACGACACTGCTCGTTCGGGAAGGAACGGCGGCTATTACCGTCTCACAATGGGGCACCAGCAGACAAACTGCCTGGGCCGTCTAGACCCACTTCCTTTATATAGTGGGTGAATGGTTAAGAGCAAAGTGAAACTCCTGGGACTACTTTCCACTTTATCAGAGCAAACGTTTATCATGAGGTTTCCTTCTCCAGTGTTCGCTCTACCAAAGGAGAGAGAGGTGAAAGGAGCTTCCACGTTACTCTTAACTTGTCATCGACAATAAGTGTTCTTGTGGCCACGCACCCCAACGCTCTGCTGCGTCCTTCTACAGCCTCCGGCGCTTGGCGATAGGCGACATGCTGGGCGCTTACAGGGTTAATTTGTTTTACACATTCGGTGTTTTAGGGTAGGAAATTCGTGTTTCTGATGAAAAGTCTGTGTTTATCACGTATTATGCGAAAAAAAGAGACTCGCATGCAGAGTTTTCCATATTCCATTGAACACGGGGGTAATTCGAGCACTTTTAAACCGATAGTACAGGCACCTGAAGAATACGAGGTCATTTGCCTGGCTATCGAACAAATCAGCATCCCCGCGGACAGTTAGTGAAGGCTGTGTTTCGAGTCAACACAAAATAAAGCTGCAGCTAATATTATCTTTCCCTGTAACTTCAGTTTTTTTAGACAATTCCGAATAATTGTTTAAAGGATTTTGATAAACAAATCTGGGGGTTGCTTTTTAGAGTTGATATCTTATTAGCGAATACAAGGGACACTACTTGTAATATGACTCGACAAGATTGAATATTGAAGGCATTTATTGGCGTTACTTTGTTTCGGTCATTTGAGATGTTACTAATTCTAAAAGCAATATTGTCTGATCTTTTGTGTTCTTTTTTGTTTGTTTTTAGCAAGATCATCCTGCGCAGAAAAAGGCGTCGATCTGCGAGGTTGCATGTTGCAAGAACGAAACAGCTTTCAGAGGATTCTACAATTTATCACCCGATGGCAAAAATTGCACAAGCGAAGATGGTGGAGATGGCAGAAAGGTGGCGTAAAGCATTCCAGACGTCCGTTTAATGTTTCAGATACTAAAGGGAAATCTACTGATTTCTGCCGAACTTCCTACACTTATGCGATATCCCTTTATAAATGGGCGATCCATTATATATTAGGAGAATTAAGTTTATTTGTTAGCTCTTTCTTGAGACCGCCTTCTGACTAAAATGGAGCTGGTGACGTTTTACTGGCAGCGTTAGCAAATTTATATATATTTGCGGTAGCCGCTCATTCGTTGGGTTACCGGCGCACAAAGGTATAGCGAGCGCCGATTGAATAGACCAATATCCTCACGCGTTCGGCGCATCTGTGACACCACCAGAACTTTAGCTTACATGATGCAGGCGGCAGATCACGCGGAAAGCTTGAGTGAGGTTGTCGCATGTGCAGAAAGCACGCTGGCGGAATAACTGAATTTCAGTCGATGCATTACGGCAAGCTTGGCGCCCCAAACCGGCTGGTGAGGTTCGTGTATGGGGTTGTGTTCACCGGGCGCCGTATTTCATTGCACTGGTCATGACGCCCCACCTTAAAAAAAAAAAAAGGTCTAGCCCTCCCTATAGAGAGGAACGCACGTGTAATCAATGTTACTTCTGAAAGGGAGAAGGTTTAGTCCCTGAAAGCAGGGGAGAAAAGTTCCTCTGTCGTCTGCATCGCATTACGGCAAACCCCGAAGCGAGAAAATTGTGCTGAATAAGGCTCGAGGAGGACACTACATCTGTTGCACGGTGCAAGAGGAGTAGCATATAAAACCATTCTTTAAACCAAAAGCCGCTCTCAAAAGAGCATATTTGAGGCAGGCTACATGGTTTATGGCTGCACGGTAACCAAAGAATCGCTCGCCATCAGATGGCAGGGTAATGCAGAGTCATTGCAAGCAACTAGGTTCGGTGGCGCTAGGTGCCGCTCAAGTTATGGGGCATAAACAATAGTTTTATTTGCTCGCGCCTCCATTGCCCTTTGGGCGCATTTATTACACAAAGCCCTTGCTTTGCGTTTTATTGTACTTTTTTAATTTTTATTGTTGGATTAACAATCGTATTTTTTTTTCCTAACATGTACTTTGTATACGTATAAGTTATTTGACATCAACTAGTTTGTAACCCGTCCTGCCACAACCTGCAAAAGGAGGTTATCACTATGTATAAACAACTAAAATACACACATATACATATATTCAGTGTTCTAGGCGTTATTGAAAAAAAAAACGTTACTCGTTACTAGCGAAATGTAGTAACGCGTTGAAGACCTACTTTAATCCAAAATTAAAAGAACGCGTTACCGTAACCGTCACCGATAAAAAAAAACGCACGTGAATCTTGCGTTACTCTTTAGTTTTTAATTGACTGTAAGAGCGTTTCTTTGTCTACAGGGTTTTTAGACTTTGGGGCAAAGGGTGTAGGCGTTGGGGTTCATCTAATCTGGGACATTCTACGTGGGCAAAACCAGGGATAAAATTCAATTTATGTGGAATGAGTGCAATAATTAATGGCTGCGGGCCTATACATCATTTCAGCTTAGATCCTAACGCAGCCGACGCTACGCGTTAATGGGACCAATCCACCAGCGTCAAAACGAATGACACTGTGTCAAATTTTGTTAATGATTGTTTCAGCGTTGGCAGAACGCGCGCAGAAACATAAAGAATACCGTGATTGTGCTCTTTTTATGTTTTCTGGTTGGTCACATCAGCTCTAAAGCGTCGGCTGCGTCTGCACGAAAAAATGAGTGTATTTGTCTTTCAGTTCTTGTGAAGAAAATGTAAGGAGCAAGTGAGTGCGCCACCCGTTACTGTTTTGAAAAAAGTAACGAGTACGTGCATACGTTACAAAAAAAACTATGCGTTACTAGTAAATCCGTTACTTGTAACGCGTTACCGCCAAGACTGCATACACTACGCGTACCACAACCATCATCTGGACATATGCAACAAGCTCATACACATACACAGCACATAAAAACATGACGCAAACAGCACACTATCCCCTTATTTATTTATTTTTATCCCAAACTATCCCGAATTTTTTTCTTGTGATAAAAATGTAAGGAGCAACGTGAGTGCGTCACCCGTTACTGTTTTGAGAAAGTAACGAGTACGTGCATACGTTACAAAAAAAATTATGCGTTACTAGTAAATCCGTTACTTGTAACGCGTTACCGCCAAGACTGCATACACTACGCGTACCACAACCATCATCTGGACATATGCAACAAGCTCATACACATACACAGCACATAAAAACATGACGCAAACAGCACACTATCCCCTTATTTATTTATTTTTATCCCAAACTATCCCGAATTTTTTTCTTGTGAAGAAAATGTAAGGAGCAACGTGAGTGCGTCACGCGTTACTGTTTTGAGAAAGTAACGAGTACGTGCATACGTTACAGAAAAAAACTATGCGTTACTAGTAAATCCGTTACTTCTAACGCGTTACCGCCAAGACTGCATACACTACGCGTACCACAACCATCATCTGGACATATGCAACAAGCGCATACACATACACAGCACATAAAAACATGACGCAAACAGCACACTATCCCCTTATTTATTTATTTTTATCCCAAACTATCCAGAATTTTTTTCTTGTGAAGAAAATGTAAGGAGCAACGTGAGTGCGTCTCCCGTTACTGTTTTGAGAAAGTAACGAGTACGTGCATACGTTACAAAAAAAAACTATGCGTTACTAGTAAATCCGTTGCTTGTAACGCGTTACCGCCAAGACTGCATACACTACGCGTACCACAACCATCATCTGGACATATGCAACAAGCGCATACACATACACAGCACATAAAAACATGACGCAAACAGCACACTATCCCCTTATTTATTTATTTTTATCCCAAGCTATCCCGAACTTTTTTCTTGTGAAGAAAATGTAAGGAGCAACGTGAGTGCGTCACGCGTAACTGTTTTGAGAAAGTAACGAGTACGTGCATACGTTACAGAAAAAACTTTGCGTTACTAGTAATTCCGTTACTTGTAACGCGTTACCGCCAAGACTGCATACACTACGCGTACCACAACCATCATCTGGACATATGCAGCAAGCTCATACACATACACAGTACATAAAAACATGACGCAAACAGCACACTATCCCCTTATTTATTTATTTTTATTCCAAACTATCCCGAATTTTTTTCTTGTGAAGAAAATGTAAGGAGCAACGTGAGTGCGTCACGCGTTACTGTTTTGAGAAAGTAACGAGTACGTGCATACGTTACAGAAAAAAACTATGCGTTACTAGTAAATCCGTTACTTGTAACGCGTTACCGCCAAGATTGCATACACTACGCGTACCACAACCATCATCTGGACATATGCAACAAGCTCATACACATACACAGCACATAAAAACGACGCAAACAGCACACTATTTCCTTATTTATTTTTTTTATCCCAAACTATCGCGAATTTTTTTCTTGTGAAGAAAATGTCAGGAGCAACGTGAGTGCGTCACCAATTACTGTTTTGAGAAAGTAACGAGTACGTGCATACGTTACAAAAAAAAACTATGCGTTACTAGTAAATCCGTTACTCGTAACGCGTTACCGCCAAGACTGCATACACTACGCGTACCACAACCATCATCTGGACATATGCAACAAGCTCATACACATACACAGCACATAAAAACATGACGCAAACAGCACACTATCCCCTTATTTATTTATTTTTATCCCAAACTATCCCGAATTTTTTTCTTGTGAAGAAAATGTCAGGAGCAACGTGAGTGCGTCACCAATTACTGTTTTGAGAAAGTAACGAGTACGTGCATACGTTACAAAAAAAAAACTATGCGTTACTAGTAAATCCGTTACTCGTAACGCGTTACCGCCAAGACTGCATACACTACGCGTACCACAACCATCATCTGGACATATGCAACAAGCTCATACACATACACAGCACATAAAAACATGACGCAAACAGCACACTATCCCCTTATTTATTTATTTTTATCCCAAACTATCCCGAATTTTTTTCTTGTGATGAAAATGTAAGGAGCAACGTGAGTGCGTCACCCGTTACTGTTTTGAGAAAGTAACGAGTACGTGCATACGTTACAAAAAAAATTATGCGTTACTAGTAAATCCGTTACTTGTAACGCGTTACCGCCAAGACTGCATACACTACGCGTACCACAACCATCATCTGGACATATGCAACAAGCTCATACACATACACAGCACATAAAAACATGACGCAAACAGCACACTATCCCCTTATTTATTTATTTTTATCCCAAACTATCCCGAATTTTTTTCTTGTGAAGAAAATGTAAGGAGCAACGTGAGTGCGTCACCGGTTACTGTTTTGTGAAAGTAACGAGTTCGTGCATACGTTACAAAAAAACTATGCGTTACTAGTAAATCCATTACTTGTAACGCGTTACCGCCAAGACTGCATACACTACGCGTACCACAACCATCATCTGGACATATGCAACAAGCTCATACACATACACAGCACATAAAAACATGACGCAAACAGCACACTATCCCCTTATTTATTTATTTTTATCCCAAACTATCCCGAATTTTTTTCTTGTGAAGAAAATGTAAGGAGCAACGTGAGTGCGTCACCCGTTACTGTTTTGAGAAAGTAACGAGTACGTGCATACGTTACAGAAAAAGCTATGCGTTACTAGTAAATCCGTTACTTGTAACGCGTTACCGCCAAGACTGCATACACTACGCGTACCACAACCATCATCTGGACATATGCAACAAGCTCATACACATACACAGCACATAAAACATGACGCAAACAGCACACTATCCCCTTATTTATTTATTTTTATCCCAAACTATCGCGAATTTTTTTCTTGTGAAGAAAATGTAAGGAGCAACGGGAGTGCGTCATTCGTTACTGTTTTGAGAAAGTAACGAGTACGTGCATACGTTACAAAAAAAAACTATGCGTTACTAGTAAATCTGTTACTTGTAACGCGTTACCGCCAAGACTGCATACACTA